TACAGTAGGATGTGATGGCAAAACAGAGAATCCCTTAGGATTCCCAGGGCCTCAGGTCTCAAAATATTTGTGGTTTCTGGTTTGTGTATATTCTAGTTGGTGTTACAGGACAGTGCTTTCCACACTTTAATGTGAACACGAATCTCTGGAACTTGTAAAACTGCAGTTTCTGTTTCTGTAGCTCTAGCTGGGATAGAGTCCCAAACTGTAGTTGGAACAGGCTCCCAGATGATACAGATGCAGCTGGTTCCCCCCACCACACTTTGAGTAGCAGGACTGTAGGAGATACTGAAATATCTGATATTGTGCCTGGCTTCATGAAGTCTAATAGAGAAAATAACATGTGTATATTGTAAAAACATGCAGTCTTAAGCATTGACTAACAAAGCAAAGCTGGACATGGAGATAAGAAATACTAGGAGAGTGGTCCAGTTCATCCATATTGGAGGGTCTACTCAATCACCAGATGACTGACTCAGGAGTCTAACAGTTGTGTGCACTAGACAAATCTCTGTGGATCAGTGGTGAGGGACTCGATGCCACTGATCCTCACTTGTCTTGTATCTGCAAAGGGCATGATGATTGTCCTGTGAGGATTAAGGGAAATGATGGATATGAACAGTATTTGAAAACTGTGAAATGCTTACAATGGTAGATGTCAAAGGAAGCCACAGATGTTTAGGAAATACAGAGTTAAGCTGACAGCTTAGAGGAATGAAATCAATCAAGTCTGCACAGAAAACGACAGGTTTCATGGAGGGTGTAGACCTGAGCTGGGTAGGATTTGGACAGATGACGCAAAGGAGTGAAAGGTTATTCCATGCCCAGAGATCAGCATGGGTTGAGTGAAGGTATCGAAGTGGGAACTAGCATACCATGAAAAAGGAGCAGATTCATAGTGAGGAAGAATAGGAAAATAAAGTCAGATGAGGAGGAGGGAGGATATTATAAGGGTGGAGTTTAAATGATAATTAAAAAGCTGTAATACCATGTATGCACCATGAACTTACTCGCTTTAAACTTTCTGTTAATGCACTTTCCTCCCCTACCAGAGTGTGGGCTCCTGGAAATTGGCATTATTGAGGCACCTCATGGTGCCAGGAAACTTGCTAGAAACCAAGGGTACCAAAGTGTGGCCATCACAGCAAGGCTCCTCTGAGACTTGGGTGGAGTTTGCCAGATCCAAGGTCTTGCAGTTAAGCATGTTAAACATTGCAACATAGACAGAATTCTGAAGGGGAACCAGGTGTTCCCATCAGTTAGTGTAGAGTCTGTCATGTGGTGGGAACTGAATAAATGTTGAAATGAATAAAGATCTTTTCTCTTGTTCTTATTTTTATATAGCTATAATTGTGATATATATAATTTTATGCCCTTAGTTTTTCCACTTAACATTACATAATTTCACTATTTTTATTATGTAAGCTTTATTTTCTTCCAACTATTTTTTTTTCAGAAAATTTCAAACCTATGAAAAAAATCAAAGTACAGTGGAAATCTGTATATCCTTCACCTGGATTCACTACTTTTTAACATTTTGCCACATTTGCTCTATTCCAACTCCCAGTCTTTTTTTTTTTTTAACCATTTGATGCAAGTTACAGATATCATGACACTTCAGCTCTACTTCAGCAGCCATTTCCTAAAAATAGGGAATTCTTCTGTAGGGCCATAAGACCATTAGCATAATAGTTTTGTCTATGATCCAGTCCATATTAAGTCTCCCCACAAAGTCATATGTGTGTATGTGTATGTATGTATATATACATGTACATATATATATATATATATATATATTTTTTATCCTGGTTCAGGATTTATCAAGTTTCCCCCATTGCATTTTTAGGTTTCTTTAATATCTTTAAATCTCAAATAGTTCCACGTTTTTTTCTTGCTAGTTTGTTTTTCATGACATTGAAATCAGTCATTTCTTCAAGGGAACCTTATCCCTTTTAGTTGGAAATAGTATTTAAAAATTGACTTTATACTTTATAAATGGTTATTTACTATATCATCAAGTGAGCATACCTTAGTTTAGTTCAACATTTTATTTGTTGAGCTTTTAGGCTATTTCCATTCTCCTCCCTTGTAAACAACTCTGTAACAAACATCTTGATGAGGTTAGCTTTTCTAAGTTTAGGATTAATTTCCTTTGGCAAGATTCCCAAAAGTGAAGTTATCGGGAGAAGGAGTGTACTTTTTTTTCTGATTCTGGATATCCATTGTCTGGTTGTGCTCATGGAAGGTTTTAAAAGTCAACAATGACTTCCAAGTGTTAAGCCCAGTGATTTTGTCTCATTCCTTTTTATCTTTTGCAACACCTAAGTCTGCTGATTTCCTCTGTGCTTGAGAACTTCTTCTCCCAAACTTTCCTTAAAATGACAATATTCTCTTTTCTCTCAAGCCACATCCTTCTCTCCCTCCCTTAACCTTCTAAATTTGTGCACGTCCCAACACCTAGTCCTCAGAGCTCACTTTTCTTACTGGGTACTGAGTAGGGTGTCCTCACTTCTGTTTGCTTGCCTTTGATTGCCCAGTCCTGTGCTAGCTCTCATCTCTTCTGGTTTTGTCTTCTTCTAAGTCTAGTCCTTGCCTTTTGTCTCCAGCCTTGTCTTGGTCCATCTTTGTCCACAACCTTGAGGGGACAAATATATCCCAGTACACTCACATATGCACTCTGTTCTTTGAGATTCTACATGTAGATGGAGCTTCATTTGGACCAAGTTTTCTATTTATCTGATATGAAAGTAGCATGGTTCTGTGTTGCAAGAATAAAACCTAAGATGTAACCATAAAGCAAACTGGGCCACGTCACTCACTTATGGACTCTGTAAGAAACCTCTGTTCGAAAATTTATGGAAAGGTTATATGCATGCAAACATAGTATGATTCAATTCTACATTCAATGAACTTGAATTTTCTACCTCTAGTGGTTTGTGATTTATGTTGGATCCTGACAATAAAATAAGAAAGAGATGGAAGTGGAGGGTCTCCAAATGGACTATCAAGTCTAGTCCCAACTCCAAAATTAGGATGCTTCCCTTCCCTTCCAACATGAAATCAAAATAAGGCTGATTCCTAACAAAGCTCAGACTCCCATCTAAAAGTTTTTTTCTTGGCCCAGTAAGGAATTCCTTTCCCTTATCAATCCAAACAGTGCCCCACCCTTCCCAGCCTGGAGCCAGGACCAGGGGAGAAAAAGGAGAGGCTCAGGCAGGTGGAGATTCCTTCAGGGTATGTGTACTCTTCCCTGTAAAGCGAGATTGCCTATCAATGCAAATCTAACACTTCAAGTTCAGTCTGACTTCTCGGGGAGAGCAGGAAGGGAAGAGGACATCTGTATTACACAAGAAGCAAGGAGGAGTATGTTTGTATACATATATACACATTTGTTGATACAAGGACTGTCACAGAAAGATATATTGGAAACAGGCAATAATTGGTAGATAGGGTGAAGAATGAGAGGGAGACTTTTCACTGGATTTTTGCATGTATATTCTCTATTTTAAAATGAACAAAGCCATTTTTTTCTGACAATATATGAAAAGGGAAAAAATCACAAGGTCACAGGGGCGCTATTTTGCTGGCGTAGGAGAATGATTTAGACACTGATTTTCGGTTTATTTCAGAAGGAAAGGGGTTACAACTGTTTGATCTGGAGTCGTATTGTGGGATTTAAATGAAAATCACTGAACGTGGCGATAGTAGTGGTGGCTCAGTTTTCAAAGCTGAAAGATGTGGCAGTTCATTCCAAGAAGATGAATTACAATTTATACAAAATGTTATGGGCTGGGAAAAAAGAAACTTGAAAAGACATGCCCCTTGCCGTGCCATTGTTCCCACAATGCCGTGACTCGGATTCGAACCGAGGTTGCTGCGGCCACAACGCAGAGTACTAACCACTATACGATCACGGCGAGCTACCGGGGACCCGTAGGGGTGGCCTTCTGATTGTCTTCTTCAACAGTTATAGGCCTCCCCATTCTGCACGTCACCAAAAGGTCCACCTATGGGGCGGGGTTCCCGCCTAAGGCCGAGTCTGAGAACGCGCAGGCGCATTGCTTTCCTGCCAATTGCTACGATTCTCCAATTTTGGCCCATGAGCCGCGGGAGGTGATGATGCAGTGGGAAAGGGTGGGTACCATGGTGAGGTGGGAGTTTAGGGAGGACCCCTTGGGCATCCAGGGACGGGAATGGCCGGAGATCAGAGTGTTCACAAGATATGTAACTCTCATACTTTGGAGGACGCCCATCTCTCCTGCGCCGGAGAGACCCTTCCAGCGACCCCAGACCTGCAGGGGGCGCTCCTCAAGGCTTTGCCTCCGGGCTGATTTCCCCAGGAGTGACCCAGTGCCGCCTCTGCGGAGAGTGTGGATGCCTCCAGAACTGGACTCAATGAACATATCTATCTTACCCTGCCGTTCCCCTACCCTCCAACACCAACTTCCTTCCTCTTACTCTCCCAAGGACCCTGACTCCTTCCTCTGCAATGCTCCCGCCAGACCCGGTGCCCACCTCCGTTGTGCCCCTGGGCGCAGCTGGGACAAGGTCCGGTTTTTCTTCTTGTCCACACGTGCCCCCGTACCCAGGGCACCTAGAACCAGGCTGAGTTCACAGTAGGCAGTGGCTTTTTGCTAGACTTGAGAACGTGCCACTCGTTCTAACAAGTATCCAGAGAGACCACCCGTCTCTCCAGTGTCTTCTGTTCTAATTACTCGCCCCACTCCACCTACCCACTTGCAGAGCCGCCAGAGGGATCTTGGTAAACACGAACAGAATCCTCTCACTCCTCCACCTCTCACTCCTCCACCTCTCACTGCCACCCCCTAGGCTGTAGAAAATTTGTCTACCTTTTCCAGATCATCTTGTGGCCCTTCCTCAGTGTCGTTTCCCCTTCCCAAATTACTTGTTTTCATTCATTCAACAGGTCCCTAAGAAGCGCCTACTGTCAGGTCCCGGCCTTTGGGCGTCATGGGGATGGGGAAGAGAGAAGACTTACGAAGAGGAATGATGCCAGTTTCTTTTCGAGACCTCCTTTAACCTTAGCACACGAGATTATCCCGGCTGCTTGACAAATTCCCTTTCTGCTTTTAAGGAGTGCTTCAAAGGTCGCCTCCTATGCGAAGACTTCGCCTCCTTTTATTGGGAGTCGGTTTCCAGTGCTGCCATAGAAATTTGTACGTATGTCAGTTGCAACACTTAGCCCTCTGAGTGTTCTGTGCTTTGTCCCCAAGAATGGTAATGCGCGTAGCCCAGTGTAACCGAAAGTCTATTTTTCCGAAGTCCAATTTAGTCAGAACTGGCGTAAACATAGTTTTCAACTGTTGTAAGAGAATTGAGATCCTTTTTAAGAATGTTATTACAATCTGATACGGTAAAAAAAAAAATGGAGGAGAGCGATAAAAGCTTAGATCCCATGCCGTGTCATTGTTCCCACAATGCCGTGACTCGGATTCGAACCGAGGTTGCTGCGGCCACAACGCAGAGTACTAACCACTATACGATCACGGCGAGCTACTGTGGACCTACGCCTCTCTCTCCTTGTCTGAGCTCTTCTCTGTTTAAGGGCACGCCCCCTTGCCATGTCATTGCTCATTCCCGCCCATCTCTAACATCACAGGTCCCTGAGTGTACGCAAGCGCAGTTTGTCTTTGCTGCTTCGGTATCAGTCCGCAGTCTCCCGCGGGCCGGATCCCATCGCCTCACTACCGCGGGCCAGGCTATGTTCCAGATTCCCCTAACCCTGCGTCTCAAAGGAAGTTGTGCGAGTGGGTCCGAACTCATTTTCTTTGTTGTAGGACTTAAGAGACAGCCCCATCCCCAGCCAGAGCCCCTTTAGATTGTGTGGGCGGCAGGGCGCTGTGGGTGTGAGGGGGTCCCAGCGCCGCCATTCGGAGGACCTCGGGGCCTCGCGGCCGCACAGGCTGCGTAAGAATCCCAGACCAAGGCCGGGCCTCCCAGGAGCCCTTTAGTTTGCAGAGCACTTTCGTGTCCTCTCTTTTACGGTCCGTGCGGACGATCAGCGAGACTTTGGCCGGGAGTCCAGAGCGCCCCTCGTCTGCTTTGGTCTCGGCGCGAGGGCCCGAGGGGATTGGTCGACCATGAGCAGCTTCGGAAGGCTAGAGCGCCGGCCATCCAGACGAGGAGGACACTCGGTGACGCGCTCCTCGTGGCGCTCCAGTAGCTCGCCGTGATCGTATAGTGGTTAGTACTCTGCGTTGTGGCCGCAGCAACCTCGGTTCGAATCCGAGTCACGGCATTGTGGGAACAATGGCACGGCAGGGGCGCCTTTTTAGATCTGGGAGGCCGAGTTCCTCTCTGGTTGTGCCCCATCTTGTAGTTTGAAGTTAGGTCAGGGCCGAAATTATAACGCAGCCAAAAGTGAACTCCGCGACTAAGCTTTCCATTTCTAATTATTCATCGGCCAGTGAATTCAGTCAACCATCATCTTCCTTGCAATATAATCTTTTGGGGGCGGGGGGTTATTCCGTGTGGTACTCTCTCTTTTCTCATTTGGCTCCTGTTAGTAGTGAAACCATACATTGGGTTCTCTAAAAAAAGTCTCATATCGGCTGCAACTTCAATACTTTGGAATGCAGGGATTGTAGGAACACTGTGCAAACATGTATTAAGGCTTAGAAGAATGCAGTGCGGACAATACACTGAGACAAGAAAAATCTGGCGGTTCTGGAGGCGCTGGTTCTCGTAGCCACTGTGAGGGTGCTGAAAAGGAGTTTGTGGCCTCCATCTCCATAGCCTCTTAGTGAGAGCTTTCTCCTTGAGGATTTTTTCCCCTAATCGACTTAAGGTTTAAAGCAAATTTTATTTGTTATTTTGTTTTATGAACACTTAAAAAACCCAAACTCGACAAACCTAGGTCTGTCATTTGGCATTAGGCAAAATGGAAGTAAGTTTTGGATTTGGCTCTTGGGTGGCTGGCAGTAGCTATATCACTGTCAAGGAGGGAATGAGATGAGACTAAGTGACCATTGAGCCTCTGGAGCTTCTCCCAGGGGGCCTGGGGAGGGCAAAGGAAGTCAGGAAGCATTTCTGGAGAGATGGACGTCGCAGTGGGGTTGTGGCCCTTTTACTGACAATCTATCAACAGAGACTTACAGAACAGCTTGTAAAAGCAGGACACTGTGGAGAGCGGCAATTTTCCAGGATCTCCCCACTCCCAGCTCCCTAAACTTGCCGAGTTTATAGCCACACAACAGGACAGCTCAGACCAGCAGAGAGTATAATGAGGGAAGGTGAATCTCAGAACTTGCCCGATTTTGGTTAACTGTTTTAAGTGTTACATATATAGAAAATCAACATCACCAGCAAAAAAAGAACCAGCCCCCCCCCCCAATATGACAACTTCTGTTCCTCTGACCACTTACCAAATGACCACACTGAAGATTTTTAAATCTGCAGGATGGAGTAAAGTATTGGGGTGGGAAGCAAGAAAAGGCTCCGACTTTTTCCCTGATGGCCTTGCCCACACCCCCATACTCCTCTCCTACAGGTGCGTAAGTGGACAATGAGCTGCTCCCAGAATCTGGAGAGAAATTCTGAGATAGTCACTTTCTAAGAGTATTATGAGTCAAAACACTCAATCAAGAAAACAACAACCATAAACGGGCACCATTGGAGATAACTCACTCTAGCCATTCACATCCATCCAAGGTAACTGAAGTGTACTCTGAGGGTAGGAATGTGCCTAAAGAAGCCGAACAGAAGTTCCCAGTTGCAGGAAGAGTCAGAGAAAAGGAAGGTACTCCTAACTTCTGGCTGCTGACTTTCTTGGCAGATATACAATTACCCTGGAAAGGAAAGTTTACTGTATTCAGAAGCCTGGTAACCTTGGGAGAAGGTAGTCTTGTGTCCCAGAACCAACTCTGAAAATTCTCGTACTAGGCCATGAAAGACTTTAAAGGGAGAAAGGGTAAGTTAATGGCAGTTAATCATTTGGGGAGAGGATCAGAGGCTTTGTTATCTTATACAATGTGCAGACTTTCTTCTGATTGGTTGTTGGTGAGGTAACAGGGCGGTGTTCCAGGAATCTTGTGCTCTGCCTGAAGTTACCATCCTCCACCTGAATGGGAGCCTTAGTTCCTGGGGAAGAATTCAAAGATACAATTTATGTATAGTCCTTGAGGAGAAGCCAGGACCTTGCTTTTTGTACTTGTCCTTTTTTTTTTTAATTGCTTCTTGACTGTTCCTTGTTTTGCATTCCCTCCCTTTCCGGATTTACAACTGTTTTGAATTTGCCCTTTGGTACTCAGGGAAGGTCTTGAAGGCTGAATGAAGACTAGTTCCTACAGACTAGAAGTGGGTCATTGAAAGGATTTAAACCCAGGAGGGCCCCACAAGGTCCTGCTCAGTTTCGAGAGCATTGCTCTGTTGACTAAAATAAATGTGCAGCCTAAAAGTTAAGAGTTAGGTTTTATTTGGCGGGAGGACTCAAGCCGGGATGACAGCCTCTCAGATCACTCTGAGGGACTGCTCCGAAGAGGTAGGGAAGGAGCTAGACTATACAGGAGCTTTACAACAAAGACCAGGTAGTTGGAACATTAAAAGATTACTTATTATCTAAAGAAAAGCAGGCAACTCAAGTTAAAGAATTTAGTGCTTTTCTATGTATGGGAGGAAGCAAACATTTGGGCTGATTGAATTCATTCCTTTGACAAGCATCTAACTATCTAGGGCCAGTATCTTGTCCTTTATTATTCTGAGTCCCCTCAGAGTGCACCATTGTGAGTGGCTGCAGAGGCTGGGCTGCAGGCTTGTCTTCACTGTGGGGGGTGGCGGCAGCAGTGGCTGATGACTTGATGGTTTCAGCATTCTTTGTTTATTGATATGGTTTGCAGTATTTTTCGTTCACACTCTCAACAAGTTTCTGATTAGTTGGCGTTTGTTCTTGTTACTGTTGGCATTTTGATTAGACTCTTAAGAGTCTGGTTGGTGTGATTCATTTCTCTTGAGTCTCCTTATCTCTGGTTACACTGACAAAATGGGGTTTCTGGACTGGCAAAGCTGAGAGCTAAAGACCCTTGCCTAGGATGACCTCACCAAGACAGCTGCTCCGGGACACCCTCCCTGAGCTGTCGGGCAGCACCCTCCTCGCCTTGACTTCTTGCTTTAAACCACATTTTGTGGTTTCTGATTCTGGGAATGTGGTCCTTTCTCCCACCCCTTTCCAGCTGGAGGTCAGAGCTCTTCTCTAGGTCTCAGCACCAGGAAGGAGGCAGGCAAACCTTGAAGGGGACAAATGCAATTTATGTTTCAGAGTATTTGCTTAAACAATCAACCCCATGGTTTCCTGGTCATACTTGCTGCATCTGGGAGCTGCTACTGCTGCAGCTGCAGGTCACCACAGGGGTGCAGTACAGACTGGACCAGCATTCTTTGGTATCACCTGGAAGCTAGTTTATTTTTGTTTTGTTTTGTATTTATTTTATTTTATCATTGTTACCTGGAAGCTAATTTAAATTCAGAGTCTTGGTCCCAGAACTACTGTATCAGAATCTTCATTTTAACAAAGTCCTCTTCAGATTATTCATCTACACCTTGAAGTTTGAGAAGTGCTGCTCTGATCTGGAGAACTACCTGGCTCTAATGGGGCCTTCATTGTTTTCCCTGTGAGTACTTCAGCTCATTAGAAGGGACCTTTTTGAGTCTACCGGGCCTCATCCATGGGGGTGACATTGAGATTTTAAGGATGAGAAGATGGAGTTTGTTGAGGCAGTAACCGAGGGCCCATGTTGGGGACCATCTAGGGAGGAGGCAGCAGCCCTAGACTTCCACTAGGAGGCACTGTACCCCAGGAAGTGGATGTGGAATGCTGAGGCTGGGTAAGACTTAGTCTAGAAGAAGACACCACTTTGGATGTAACACTGAGTCCATTCCTCACGAATTCTCTGGATGTGCAGGACCCAAGTTCCAGTTGTTCATGTATTCAGTAAACTGGCATCTCTCTGCTCTTAAAGTGCTATACATGAAGGGGAGCTGCAAAGCTATATCTGATACTTCTACCCAAAGTAGTTTATTTTCCAGCTGGAAAGAAATGCTAGCCCACAGGCAACAGTCAAAAAACAACACAAGAAAGGCTGTGGAAGAAAAAGTCATTTCTTGGTACAGTAGAAGGAAACTCTCCAAGCAAGAGCTGACATAAACTTCCAGAATTGTAAAATAATTGAAGTTTATTTTCAGCACTTCCAGCACCCTCATTCTGACCCCGTTCCACTTCTTTGTGTTGTCCTTATCTCATTCATTCTCATTCATTTGATCAACAATATTTATTGACTGGCCAACTATATGCCAGGCACTGTTCCAGGTTCTGGAGTTATAGTAATGAGAAAGACAGATGTGTTGTTCTCATAGACCTATATTCTAGTGTAAGAATCAGAAAGGAAATTGAGACAAAAAATATATAAGAGAATTTGAGCCAATGGAAAATAATGTGGTATAGTGTCCTCCTGTTTCCTGCCTAGTACCCACTCTTGTACCCCCTCAGCTTCTTTTTCTGTAAAAGGATAATGACTGGTAATAGTAAGTGTTGCCTTTTAACAGGGATCTAAGTTTTACACTAAGAAGATAAACTCTAACCCAGAGTGGCCCACATGTGGCATAAAGAGCCTTCAGATCTGAGGCAGTCTTGTCTAGGCAGAGCAAGGAGGACTCCGTGGTGGCCTGCATGGGCCTGCAGTATAATCCAGTATAACCTAGTGGATTCTGAGGACCAATGAGTAGGACCAGATGACCCCACAGGTGGGTCAAGATCTTGCCAAAGACACAAGGAAAATAAAGCATCCACCCCAAGAAATGAGAAAATTTTTCGAAAGAATTAAAAGCACTTTAAGTGATACATTTTAGGAGAAAAAAAAAAACCCTAGGACTCTGTTGGGAAATAATAAACTACTAAATAAGTATTTTAAAATGTTTTCAATTACATATGAGGCACCATAATCTTTTCAGTGCTTAAGACCTTGGGAGGTTTAAATCATCCCTGTTGATGTCCTAAATCAGTCCCCTGGATCAGAGATGCAACTCTTAAGGAGAGAAAGGGGGAGAGACTCTGAATTAAGATTATATTTCTGTCACTAGGTCAAACTTATTTAGATAGAAAGTAAATCCAGTAAGAGGAGAAATACACTTACATTTTTTGCATTCTTGAGTTTGCCAACTGCAAAGTGCACCTGATACACATGCCAAGCAGCTAGCACAGAGGTGCTCAATATACATTAGTTGTTCTCTTGTTTCAGGTACTTCTCTCCACACCCAAGTAAAGAAACCGTGGGGAGAGCCTGCAGGACTATTCTGTCATGGGGCCTAGAACTCATTCCTGAGTCAAGAAGATTGCAGGAGCCACCATCAGAAGCAAAGGTCTAAATCAGTTGTTTCCAAACATTATTCTAGAACTGGTAAGCAGGAATGAACCTTTCATCATGGCGTGAAAGAAAATAAGGTTGATGTGGTAAATTTTCCAAAAGGCTAACTGTATTTAATTCAAAGAACTACCCTCCGGGCTAAGGTTGTGCCCTTCCTACTTTTGAGGTGTTAAAGTGACTTTTCTTTTATGAAAGTAGGTGATAATTTTTTTAAATGCCTTTACTTGGAAAAATTAAAAATTGGCAATCCAATTTTGACCTCCAAATTTATTTTTGAAGTTTTACTGATCAGTGAAATCTAAAAGTACAGTGCTCACCAGACAGCTGGGCGAGCAAAATACCAGGCTGAGAAGAAATGGTCCTCGGTTTGTAGGGGGTCTGCAGAGGAATGCTCAGAGGAATGACAGGGCAGAGAGGGATCCCTGTTCTGTCAGGCGGTGGTCCAGGCCAACACCCATCCACCCACCCAACAAAGAGTAGTCCCTAGTATGATCTGTGCTAGGCCTTAAGGATACAAATTCAAGTAAGACATCCTTACTCTGAGGCCATGTCAGTGCAGGGTTAATCAGATGAGTGAAGAAATAATTACAACAACTATCCTAGGAATACATACAAAGTGTATTTCAGCTTAAATCATTGATTCCTGCAGGATATGACATTTGAGCTGGGTTCTTAAGACATGCCTAGTAGTTTCCCTGGGAGAGAAGAGGAAAGGTATTCTAGGCAGAGAGAAAGGCAGAAACAAGGCAAGGAAGCATAAGCATTCAGATGGTCACTTAGCCCTGCCTCTCTGAGACCCTGTTATTCCCACTAAGATCAGGGAGCCTGGAAAAATGTCTGGCATATAGTGTGTGCTCAGTAAGTACTTGGTGACAGCACAGAGACCTTATGGATTAGCTGCTGTTATCACTATCTGTTCTCTGTGTATCTTGTTGGCGTTAACTGGCCTAACTTTTTGGCTATATTTTGTCAGCTTTTTTTTCCAGATCTTACAATGATTCCCTGTGCTTAATACTGCAGTCAGATATATTACTTTCAAGCCCAGAAAGCTTAGTTGTCGGAGGGACTAAGCATCAACTCATGGGCACAGCAGAGTCTACAATATTCTTCATTGCCTCCATCTTAGAAGTTATATTTTCAGCAGTGAAGAGTGAATTTTTTCATGTCTCTGACAAGATCAGAACTCAGAGGATGTGAAACAATGGCAGGGAAACATACACAAGACTGAGGGAGTCCAGAGACTTGGGTTCTACTCCAGTTCTATCATTTTGGCACTGTATTAATTTCATAAGGTTGGTGTAACAAATTACTGTAAGTGGGTGGCTTAAAACAACAGAATTTTGTTGAAATGATATATGTACCCCTGAGTTCATCATAATATTATTTACAATAGCCAAGATACGGAAACAACTAAGTGCCCATTAACAGATGAATGGATAAAGAAGATATGATGTGTGTCTATGTGTATGTGTATGTCTGTGTCTGTGTCTATGTATGTATGTATGTGTATGTGTGTATGTGTGTGTGTGTATATATATATATGTTGTGTTGTGTG